TCTCCCGGTGTCGTGCCGGTTTTGCCGTAAAACTTCGGCGAGCCATAACTTCTTCGTTATAACTCGGATTTTGGCATTCTCTATATCCCTGGAATCTTTTTTTCGACCACTACAACTTTATATAAAGATATCGGGCTTATCCCATACTTTAATTTTGACGCTTATTTTTATTCTTTATTAATTATACATTTATAATTAAATAATAAGCATATAAATACACATAATTCACATAATACTCAAATATTTCATCTTTATTACTTCAAAAAGAGTTACAAGAGTTGACCTAAACTATTACATTGACAAATATGCTTAGCCCTGAAACACGAGCGTTGCAATTCTCTCCCCCTTAGGATGATTCCGTCCCGGAATCATGCATCAGCAAACAGATGTGGATAGCGACTCATCATGTCATCCTCTGTTTCCCAAGTGAGATTCGGCCCATTCAAATGTTTCCATCGGACTAGCACTAAGGAGACCATCTTGCGTCGTAACTTTTTCGTCTTACGGTCAAGTTACGGATTTTAGAAGTCGGAAGTGTACTGTGCGAAAATGGGTGATGTGGCACAATCTTGGCCATTGCTTTCTCCCCAAGGCTTGCCATCAGATGGTGACATGTGGCACCAAGTTCAGCCACATTTCACCCTATAAATACCACATCTTCCACCCTCATTTTCTTCATACCTTTCTCATTCTTTCTTCTCTTTACTCTCTCTCTAGAACCTCTCTCTAGCCCCCGAAACCCCCCGAAAAGCCTAGGGAACCTACCTAGCACGAGGCGGAAGCCTCGGAGTGCTCGACGGCTCCGAGAAGAAGAGCTTTTCAGCTCGGGAACACTGCTCCAAGCAAAGCCCGGTTTTCTATAAAAACCCATTGTAAGTGAGCTACGTCTATGCTATTTTTAATATAGCATTTATTTAATTATAGTAACGTTATTAGCAACTTATAATAAGTACTTGGGATATTATTATGGGTTATATAAGTATTGTTTGACGCTTATATAATAGTAATAATAGCTAGACTATTAATTAGTCTCGGCGAATAATAGACTAAACTCTAGTGGTAATAATACTAGGCTTCGTCGAAGGAAATTGTTTTTAAGAAGCGAAGCGCTGTCTGAGTTCGGATTCACCACCTTTTCAGGTGAGTGCATAGTTACTTTCATCTTACACATAGATATGAAGTATTTTATATATTACGTGCTATGTGTGCATATTATCTGCATACTTGTTATCTATGCTGGATGAATGTTTTTTTATACAAGTTTTAAATGATTTAAACTGTATATGTATTTTATATCTACAAAAATGTTGGGGTAAAACATGGGTAGATGTAATAAGACGATGTGTGATAAAATGATGAGAGACCTCAATGTTGTTGTTGTTGTTGTTGATCTAGTCATCTAGCGGAGTATAGATGACGACCACAGACTCTTCTCGACAGTCTAGTGGAACGCTGGCAGGCTCGCAACCTGTAGGTGTTGTGAATGATGTGTTCACCGGTGTACTCCATCCCCCACATGGTTGCCTTTAGGACATTTATTGTTGAGGAATCCCCTTAGCAGTAGTGTCCATCCTAATGATGATCCTTAAGATAGGTCCCTTATGATAGGTGTTTAGGGACGTAATGTGAGGATAATGGGAACGGGTAATCGGGTTATTGTTGATTGATGGAATTAATAAACTTATTTATTATGGGTTGAAAACCCTATGTGCTCACCAGACTCCCAAGTCTGACCCATTCAGTTTTATGTATTACAGGTAGTGGCGCTTGAGCATAGATATGATGTTTGGACGAGGGATTACGGATATAGGCTTGTAGATATGAAATAATGTAGTAAGGCTTATATTGTACTGTTTATGCTTTTGATCTGTACGATCATGACATCCCAAGTCTTTTAATGAAATACATTTCTATGGAAATGCTTTTGATAAATCTTTATCATATTTTGTTTTGGGACAAATTTCGCAACACTTTTATTTAAAATACTACTCTGATTTTTAAACAAAGCATAAACAAAATCGGTCTTTTCTGGCCGTGATTTTGGGGATGTCACAAATTTGTAAGAAAAATGGAAAAAGAAAAGGAAAGTCATGACCTTATAGAGTTATTTCGTTTTAATTGAGGTTTGGTATTGGAATTCAAGTACCCTTAGGCAGTTGTTTAGTTCATGGAATGTTATTTGTAGGAAATGAAATAGCATCCAACTTTAAAAGAAAAATGTTGATATATTCAAACTAAAATAAGAATAATAAAATGTTCAAAGCATAGTGTCCTAATAAGATAATATGAAAATATAGAATATGAAGAAATGAAAGTAAGATGCAAAAGAATATAAGTATATTGCTATTAATATTAATATTATGGGTAAACAAGATAATGGATGTTTTCTAACTTTCATGTTACATATTGATATTGTTTGTCATTACTATCAGTAAAATATGTAAGTACAGAAATGTAAATGCATTTCCACAAGTTTTGATGGTTGTATTGCATCTTTTTGTTGAAAATCTTGTATTTTTATTATGTGAAATTCATGGGAACACAACTGAAAGTTTTTCTTGATGTGGGGTTGTTTTCTCTATCTATAAATTTCTGAAAATTTTCTGTGAAAACCACACAAGTATCAACCAATCATCAAACAATACACCATTGATAATTCAATTGTATTGCATAAACATACATACGACTCTCTTTTGGTGAAAACTCCATATTTTCATGAGAAATTGACGGGAGATATTTTTTTTAATAATATTGATGTTTAAAATTTTCTTGAAATATCAAGCAAGCATGAAAATTTTGCTTCACGTGGTTTATTATTTTATTGTGACCTTTAAAATATTCTAAGAAATATCAAATAAGTACGAATAGTCGAACCGTGCATACTCTCTAACTCTTCATTGATAACTGTGTACTACTGGCGCACAGTTGTTGTCTCTTTTTGTTGAAAATTCCTTATATTTAGTTATGGGAACATGATGGGGATACAATGCTTTCTTGTTGTGGGGTTCTTTTCTTTATTTTTAAATGTTTTAACTCTTTCTGTACCATATAAAAGTACATTTTTCGAGTTTCCGGTTATACAATATAGTTTTGCAAATATTTTGTCGAAATTTTCATTCCAAGAACCAAATTCCATACGTAAAAAAACATTAATATGTGAGTTAAACTAATTGGCTTCTTATCTTATCTTCTGATTAAAAAATAGATAGGTCAAAATTGAATATAAGCATCTAATTTGATTTTTTTCTTCCTGATGGTTTTTTATCCGATTAACAAGTATGTCAACATCGAATATAAGGATCTAACTTTTAGACATTTCCTTAAACAAATTGTTGATCGCGCATGTTAATTATATAACTTAAAAGACAACTACTATAATTTGTGCAATGGTCATTATGCGGCGTATGTAAGATATACTATGTTATATTGTGTTTGGCAAACATTCAACCGATACTATGATACCAATGCAAAATTTGAGTTATTTATCATTGGGAGAACGATTTACACTTGGTCTCTTTTTTTTAGTAGAAGACATGATCGTTCTTCTCATATTTATCATAAAAAACAAACCTAATATGTTTGTCTGTCATGCCTAAGTCAAAGAGTGTACCTTTCAGTTTGTCTTTCCGAAGGGGTCGTTATGTAACTTTTTTAATTGGGAATATGGTTTTTCTCACACACACGCACATATATATATATATATATATATATATATATACTCAAACGCAAACTGGTCAGAGATTTGTACATTTTGACATATTACCGGTAAGTTAAACTTTAGATTTTTGTGGTATTTCATGTGCAACCAACCTTGGATAGTTATATTGGAAAAACATGGTTAAACAACGCCATAAATATTCACCCAAAAGGAGTAATGATCATTCATTTTTCTCTTTGAACATAAGTTTGAAGACCGAAACGCTACTTTCTAGTATTTTTCTCTTTGAACATAAGTTTTCAAGTAACATTTGCATACTTCAAGGTCTCTTTGTGGTACATCAGAATGGCCTTCATAAGCTCATAGGATGATGGTTATTAGATGCATTTTATGCATCCTTTTTGTTTGTTTTGTTTCTATTTTACATAGCATTACCTACATATTTTCTTTGTCATTTTTAAGTGTTAAATGGACAACATGTGCAAAGTCATAGAACGCCTCGTCCTGCTCGTTTTATAGATTGTGTGGAACATGATCACAAGGCTCGTAGTGCTCGTTTCATATATATATTGTGCGGAATGTGATCACAGAGGCTTATGGATTCAAAATGGAGGCTTGGAGCTTCACTAGAACTAAAATATACCTAAGGAAGTTGGAAGTTGGATGGAAGCATCTTGGAATGAAGATTTGAAGACCGAAACGCAAAAAATTCAAGTTACACTACCATGTTTCTCATGCCATGATCATGTTTTGCTATCAAACTGATGCTTAGTTTCGTTGAAGCTGACTTCTGGACACTTACACTACCATGTTTCCCAAAGCATTGGTCATGTTTTGAAGGTTTTTTCTCATATTAGCCTCGTACTTTGGAAAATTGATTTGTATCGATAGCATGCTCCTTGTATAAGATTTCTTACTTAATAATTTTAAAACTTAATTTGTCTTGATATTATTTAAAGTTATTTAAATAACAAGTAGTATACGTAGGCATTTATTGAATGTGAATTCTGTAGTAGCTAAAGCTTATCAGGTGCCTTCTTCTGCTGAGTAGATGTCAAACTATTATATGATGCTATGATAGGTTGGTTTGTTCCTCTTATTATGGTGAGGAGTATGGAATGTCACTATTCGTAACCAAGTCCTATGTATAAGGATCAACAATTAACATACTATATAATGATGTGGGATATATTGAAACGTGATCATGCATTGCATGCATTACATCTTGCATAAATTATGATATGTAAGAGTTTTTGTCATATGATTTCAACAGTTTATTGTGTCCAAAACTCATTTAACTCACGAAACAATATTGTATTACTTACTCTATTTTTAAATGTCATGTATTTCAAGTTCAAGTGCAAAGCATTAGAAGTTTGTAGTGCTTAGAAGTAACCCTTTTATGGTTAACAAAAAGGTATATGTTGAAGCTTCATGAGTGAAGCCTTATAGATAGAACTATCTACTTTTCAAACCTTATGATCCAACTAAAAAAGCCCTTACAACTTTTAAAAAACAGAGCTCAATTTTCAAATCAAAAAGTTACAACTATGAAATACTACTACCCTTTTAATTTCGACATTTAAATCCATCCATATTTACAATCATAAATTTTTACATTTGTGCTTATAAAAATGTGTATTTTATACCTTAAGTCACCTGGGGTCCATTTTTTGTGCCCGTTTTCTTGGTTTCTTAGGTGGCGTTGGCACTGGCAGTGTTGTGTTCTTTGAATTTCTTGACTTTCTGGTCAACGGAAGTCTAGGGTTTAAACTCAACCCCACTGCCACATCAGATTTACACCTTTCTACTTCATCTATAGCCTTCATCAAAACATCATCTTGCAACTCCTATGTATTTACAATCAAAATCATCAAGTTAGAGTTTATCTAACAAAGTTAAGCATTTGAGTATCATTACCTCATTTTGAAGGTTTTCAGCATGATCGGAATCAGATCCACCTTCACCTTCACCTTCACTATCTGTCATTTCCTCACACTCAAACTCCACACTTTCCGCCGTTTCCTCCTCCTCGGAATCACTCAACTCCTCCTGCTCCATCACAATCTCATCATTTCCAACTCCGGAATCACGATCATTTCCGTTCTCCTCCGGTAAACCCGTATCCTGCGTTTCGGTGGTTCCGGAATCACGAATCCGGGCGCTAGAACTCAACCGAATATCCAAATCCAGTTCGTTTGGACTCCGAGGTACTTTCCGATGCGGTGCTGATGATTCTGCAGGCGGATTCACAACCGTAACGCCGGAATCACGGTTTCCATCGTCTGTTCTTTGTAGAAGCGGATGGAACTCGACACTGGATGAACTTATCTCCTTGGATTTCAAAGAGTTGTTGAAGAAATTCAACGTATGTTTTTCTTGATGGGAATAACGAAAGAGGTTAAGGTTATTCGGGAAGAAATCGAATGAGCTAGAAGAGCCAACACTGGGATTCAAAGGGTAATACGGTAAACTCCCGTCTTCGTTATCCTGGAACAATAACGGATGCATTTGGAGATCGGAATCGCCCTTTCCGGTGCTTTCCTCGTCCGGTTGACCTGGTCTTGGACGAGTCAACGGGGTTACAGACATTGTTACAGATTTAGAAGATGCTTCATTGTATTTTGTGAAAGCTGATTGTGACATTATACGAACAGTAGGCGGAAGATTGACAGGTGGCAAATCGGGAGCGAGTTTGACTACACGAGAACAACGAGATCTACGGGGTTGATAAGATTGTAAATGAACTTCAGGCCTTGAAAATTTATTAGCAGGGATTGGGTTTTGGGGATGAAGATTTACTACCCTTGGGGGGTAGTTTGGTAATAATCTATCCTGTGTAAATGATGTGGCAGGTTGGTTTTCTGGCCTCCAATCAGATAAAAATGCTTCGTGGACATAAGCTTCTTCTTCTTCTTCTTCTTCATTATTTCCAGCATCGTCCCCGCTGTTGATTTCTCCAGGGGCATTATCGGTACTACAAAATCCAGGAGTAGCATCGTCTTCGGTTGACCATCCTTCTCTATTTTGACCAGTTGACTGGAATGTTGACCCTTGAAGTTTAGACCTTCTTCTGTTTGATTCATATGATCGCCTTTTTAGCTTTGAAAGTTCATCTCCTTTATATGACTTCTGGTTTCCGACAGCTGTCCGATATTGGCGAGCAAGCAATGTGGGGTCTCTGTATGGGACCATGTATTTCCATACAGCCATCCAATCAAGTTTATAAACCTTTAATCCCTGAAACCACATTAATTATAACTTTTAGTATTTTGGCATTATTAAATAATAATATCAAGAAATAATATTATATTTATACCTCCTCTATTCGAGCTTTCTCTTGAGGAGTCAAAGGAGAAGTTTTCCAACGCCGAACTGCCTGCAAATTTTGATAATTGGGTATTATTTTAATAGTTAAAGATATGAAAATGGTATTATTAATAACAAATTTATATACCTTTATTGGATTCTCTGGTGCTCTAGAACATGCACGGTTTTTTTGCCTCACAAAGATCTGTAATAATAAAGCTTGAAAACCTTATAACATCATAATTTGAATAAACATGATTACATATCATCTCTAAAAGCTTGCCTGATGTGGAGTTTTGCAGGGTAGAAAGTGTTTCTGAATCTCCTCCCAGTTTGTATTATACTCCATTAACCCCCGAGCTAATAACCTTCATACATCAAACAATTAAAACAAATCCAGAAAGAATGGAAGACAACAAATTCTGGAATCCATAACAAAATAACTTACCCATCCTCAGCATCAGTGAAAAGAAATCGATTTGCAACAGATGCAGGGGGTGGCTTATGTGGAAAAAGGGCTGGATTGAAAAATGGAAAGAATCTAAGGGCTAATCTTGCAATTTCTTTTGGAACTAAAGCAATCGACTGCTTCTTAGACCTTTCAACAGCTGTAGCAGCAATTGTCTTCTTTGATTTCCTGTCATTAGCTCTAGGAGACACTGTATTAGGATCTGAGTCAGCTGAAGAGGGAAAATTACTGAAAGGAAACAAACATTCCTTATCAGTAGTAGCATCATATGTAACTTCTATCTGTCTTCTTTGATACTCTTGAATAGCTGTCAATATATCAAACCATGGTGTTAGCATAACAACTTACAAAGCCAAATAGAAACATAAAGTAAGTAACTTTTGACATACCAATTGAAGAATCATCTATATAGCTTCCAACTAAGCTAAGTGGGGCCACATCTATGACAGATAACAAATTCTCATGAACAAAAGGCACCCAAAAGAAGGAACCCTCCTCAGATTCAGAGCTGTTGGATGGAAAGCTGAAATTTACAGTGGAATGAATGTATGGCGAGCTAAAACAACAACCTGGATAGGGTGCTTTTTGAGAGGCCACTACTTGATCACGCTTATGAACCATTTCCAAAAGTAATCTCTGAACTTGGGAAGCAATATGTTGTCTGGAAGGTTCTAGAACCGAAAGAGAAAACACTTGAACAAGTAGCTGGACATGTTCATATATTAAGCAATGCAACTGGCCTATCTGATGTGGCGTGAATGCACTCATGTGAGTGTACTCATTTGAAGTTGAAGTCATATTTTGAAACATATAGGGAGAAATTGGTGCATATGGTAAAATGGGGCGTAATGGTCTATTATTCATTTCTCCTGAAAACTTTTTCTTATGAACATCTGTTTTCTGACGTTTTTTTTGTCTTGTTTCAGGTCTTCTTTCGTGTTCTTTTGACACACTTTGTAAATTTTCATCAAGATCACTCCCAAGTGCCTCTTCGAGTTCTAATTCAAAGTCAGCATCGTTGTCTTCATCTTCATCTTCATCAACATTTTCGGTTTCCTGTAATGCCCCTGAGTTTGCATCTCCATCTTGCAAAACAGCTGCAAGAAACTTTCTGTATTCTTGTTCATCATCGATGTTATAAAGGTCGTCTTCATCGTCTGTTTCTTGAAGGAAAGTTTCCAGTTCATCAAGAGTGGACCCCACGAGAGAGTAACGGGCTCTTGTCCGCCTCCAGATGGCATCCTCGTCATCACTGTCAAGAATTGGTTTTTGGGAGTCTGATGTGGCAATGTTTGGTTCGTTATCTTTGTTACATAAAGATTCAGCAGCTTTTGTTACTGTCTTCTGAGTGTGTTCGATATTTTTAACAGGTGAATGATTCTGTCCACTGTCCACATCAGCATTGAATTCTTCAATGTCAGAGCTGAGGCTTGAAGAAGCTTCTACAGAAGGCGCTTCTTTTAAAAAAGGGTTGAAATCGATGTCTCCTTCTTCGTCCTCTTCTTCATCATCTTCCATGTGTTCGGAAGAAAGATCTTTGTTTTTGGATAAATTTGCAGCATCTGTGACAACATCAGAGCACCGATTCTCTGTTGATGGTGAAGGTGATGAAGTCATTGTGATTTAGTTCTTTGCTCCCATCAATATTTTGCTAATTCTTTAAGCAATATGATTATGTGAAATCAATGTTTAGAATCTTGTTCCCTTATGGTCATTAGCAGAACTCCTGAACCACTAAACATACAAAAAATGCAAAATTAAGCACCAAATTGAAACAATTGTTTATGAACACATTGATTGACGGCTTTCAATTGCATATAACCATTAACCATGCATGATCTAATAGAATAAGAACATGGTATAACTCCTAAAAGGAAGCCAGAATAGTGCAAATTAACTCCTAGTTAACGAGTAGAAACTGCAAAAACTAGTTCATAAGTTTAGTCAGAAAGAACAATTTAAGATAATTCGATCTCAGATTCCCTACACTGACAGCAATTACAAAAAGTCACTCAGACACAACCACTGAAAAATAAGAAGAAATGGATGAAGAATAAGCATGGTTAATTCTCCAAATGTGGAAAGGAAGTAGTAGCCTTCACGAATTATTATACTGAGTTTAAATGTAATTAACTCCGGTGAAATTTAGACCAAGCAAATTAATCACAAAATAAATCCTAGGTTTCAAAGAAATTAACCATTTGAAACCAAACACATACACCGGAATTCAACTTAGATTACCCAGATACACAGATTACACAGTAAACAGTCTTAAACTCTTCAGAATCAAAGCAACATAAATTACAAACACCGGAGCACATGAAGAACAAAAGCATATAGAATTCGATCTGACGACCACCGTACAGAGGAATCTTAAGATTTAACTTATTGTCAGGGGAAAGTATGTCGGGAATCAATTATAGGCGGAAAGAAACCTGAAGGCTGAAGCTGTTGCCGATGGAGAAGGAAAGACGATCAATAGAGAGCCTTGTGATATTGATTTTGGCTGAATGTCCAAGAACAGAATGAGAATTCGACGATGTTGGATCAATAATCAAGCACCGTGCTTGGTGAAACAATCAAGCAGCAGCAGAATCGCCGTGATAGACACTCGAAGTTAGGGCTCCAATGTCAATTCTCGGGATCACGTGAGTCGCACATGACATGTTATATTTTATGGTTTGAGATAATTGTGGATATGAAGTGATAGATGTCTTATTATAATAAAATTGGTTGAAAAAAAATAGCTATTTGGTTTTTTATTTAGAGTTATACTAATTAAATAATTAATTGTTTAAATAATTAATAGTTATTCCGAAATTTTCAATAATATTTGATTATATTGAGATATAAGGCAAACAAGTAACAAGTTTGGTCACTAACATTTTATGGAAACAAAACTAATATCTATGACTCTTTTGGATTTCATGAAAGAACTTGGTAATCTATGTTGCAAAAAAATCAAATTTATCAAATATGAATGGTATAAGCATGTGGTGTTAATTATATATGTATGTTTTTTCTCGTGTGTTTGTCAATTTACATGACTTTTTAAACAATATATCCTACAATGAGTTTTTAAAACAATATTTATTCATAAACCTTAGGAGAAGGGAAACCTTTTTTAGATTCAAACATGCATGTTTCATGTCTATCCATCCAAAAATCAAAATGAATGTCATCCTAAATGATGATATCCCTTTCAATGCATCATTCAATGAGTTTATAAAGTGTTTCTTTCACACATATCTTGTGACAAACTCGACATAGCTTAACAATTGAACCACTCTCTGGGCCTTTGGCCTGACTAGACCGCCGACTTCGGTCTATCCGGACCTCCTCGGGTATCTTGGCCTTCGGCACAAAGCAGGGCTACCTCAACCCAACAAACCATAACATATCGACATATACAATAACGATTAATAACCAACAAGTACATGTAATCATACTTATCTATTAGTTTAACACATAATCAGTGAGCACATGTAATCATACATATCTACCAGTCTATCATATAACTAGAATAACACCAATTTAATATACCAGGATACATAATACAGTGGGACAATATTGGTGTCTTCGATTCACAAGTACAACGAGGAAAACTCGCCTCAACAACAAAAATGTAGCAGAAATGAATGATGCTCCAACTACCGGCTCTACGGTTCACTTGCACAACACCTAGAGACCAAGCATCAATCTACTACTCAAAATATCCCAATGACCTAAAGTCAAACTTTGTCAAAATCAACGGTCAACAATCAAAGTCAACAGTCACTCCAGCTGGCCGCCACGCCGTGACCACTAAATGATAAAACAGACGAGTCTTGGCCTAGACGTCACATCATGGAGACCTAGGTCACGCCATGAGACAATGGGTTCTTAACAACTTAATGGGTTAAGCTGTTTTTCTTCGATTATAAGGGATCCAATTCTCCAAAGCTCATATATGGTCCATACTATGGTCTAAGTGGATAAAGTTTTCAACTTTATCTCTTTAGACTCTCCAATAGTTTCACTCCTAGGTCCAAAAAAGGGCAAAACACAACTTGATTTAATTCATTAAGAACCTAATCTTGAAGACTTTTAGTTCAACATTTCCATAAATGTTTCTAGGATCATTAAATAACATAAAAACCCTTCCTTTCCATACATGCATGTCCAATACATGTTACAATACAAATTGTGAGGTGAGTTTCACCTCATTGTACCGTGATTCAAAGGTACCAATGTCGTCCCACTAGTTTTCGGTTATCTGTTAGTAGAGGGATACCTAAGGGATTGTATATAGTCATATAAGATAGATTGAGAACTCTTGGTCTAAGCTTTCTTACATGTTCCTTGTTTGGTTGTGGCTCTAGAGTATGATCATCTGTTTGGGTGGCTATTTCACCTCTGGCTACTTATGGTTACACATTTCATGGAGGTTAGTTGGTAGTGAGATTGTATGTTTGAGAGGACTTGTAGGCGGTAGTGAGATGTATGTTTGATGTTTGTTTGTATTATGTACATACTTGATTCTTGTTTGTTTATATGTTGATATATGGTGGTAGTGGGTTGAGACGGTCCTACTTTGTGTTATAGGCTAAAAAATGCACTTACCAATGTATGTTTGATTTTAGAGGCAGCGTCCTTGCTAGTAAAATTGCTAAAGTATAAACTTAAAATCGTATCACAAAAACAAAGCCAAAAATCACCAATCAAAAATTCGTATGATATATGTCACTGACTCATAAGATGTGGAATTGTAACATCTAATATTGGGCTCTAGAGACCATAAAAGTATATGTGAAAACGTCTTCCGTAGCACATGCCCATACCATCGAACATCATAGGTAAAGAAGCAAGTTGTCACCAAGTCTCTAAAGAAAAGAGGAATTCTACAAACCACTATATACTCAATCAAACCATGTAATCATTTGTTGAAAAACAATATTGTCTCATTGATGTGCACGACGAGTTGGCACATCCACAAACCAAAGAAAGATTTAGCAATGCATATACAAGATCGAAGCAGGTTTGGCAATGCATATACAAGATCGAAGAGAACTTAGTAAGTGGGTCGACACGTCCTCCATTTTCTAACTCCTTTCATGACAATCTTGGAAACATAAACTTTGGCTATTGTATTTACATTATAATATCATTTAATTTATCTCGAATAGCTAGCTATATCTCGAATATTATGGCCTTTGATATGCATAAATCATATAACGTCATCACAACGTAAAATAACTAAATTTAGGTTGAAAAAGTGGGGTGTCACGTGTTGAAATTTCAATTTTATACAAAGTGTCATTTGCATATTTTTCCATCAAGGTGCACTTACAAAGCCATCAGATTTGAACCAAGGTATTCATTTTATTCTCCAAGTATATATAACGGAGAGAAGTAAGGATGTTAATGGGAGCAAACGAGACGGGGAACGCATCCTCCGCCCCCGCCCCGAAATTTCCCCGTTCCCTTGCCCGCCCCCGAACCCCATTTATTACCCCACACCGCCCCGATTGATTTTGGGTTGTTTTATTTTTGGCTAAAAAAATTGTTATTTAGGTTAAAATAAATTATTATTAGGTAACAAATAATTATTTATAACAGAATTTTACATGTTAAAAATAAAAAAGTAATGGTATCTTAAACACATTATACTGACAACTTAAAAAAATGTTTTTTGATGACTTTTGGAAGCTCAAAATTATGTTATCATTTATTATATTTATATAATTAATATATATAAATATATGTGTAATTTATTAACAGGGTCCCCATAGGGGTTTGGGGCCGGTATTGCCTACCCCTTTGTCCCTGAAAATAAAATGGGATTAACCTTGCCCCCACGCCCCGTCTCCGTCCCCGATTTAAAAAAAATCCTCCAAATTGGACGGAGCACTCATAAAACTTTTTGACATCTCTAGAAAAAAAGTCGTTAAAACAATACATTAATTAAGCTTGTCCAATAGTTTCAACCGAATATCCAAATATTTAGAAATTATAAACTAATTTCAAAATGAAAAATATATGTTTCAAACATCATTTGTATCGTTCTTTATCCATGAAAAGAAATTTAAATGCTCTCTGTCGATATATGTTTGCAAGAAAACTATGTAACTTATTCGATTTTTAATGATTGTCTTTTTTATGATGTTAACATTATATTAAAAAAGAGGTTACACTTTTTTTTGGTTATACAAAATGTACCTAAGTAGTGGTTAAATATGCTATGTTAGGTGAAAAATTTAGTGGATGTATATTAATTTTGATTGTGATATTTATAAATGTTAAAATAGCGACATATGAAAAACGCGGAAGCGACTATAAATATGTCAATGGACAAATCTTTTGCACTTTTATAGTAACCAAAAAAAATGAAAACGTGTTGGCACATTCTATATTATTTTGATTTTCCATACCATGTAAGCATTTTAAGATGTAATAGATTAAATATAACCTAATGTTAACTAAAAAAAGTCAAAAGAAGTTAAGAGGATTAAATTAGGTATACTTATATTATTAGATTGATTAGATTTTTTATAATGTTTAAGAAAAAAAATCGACCTTTTTTAATAAATTTCTAGAATTATCCTTAATTTTAAATATTAATATGATCTTTGTTTTAGACAAACCATGGGTTAGTATAATTTTATATATTTTAAAAATTTTCAATCGGTGATTTTAGTGTCACCGATTCATTTTGCGTAACGAAATTTATATATGTTTAGGAGATTATATCTTAGTTTTAATATAAGGTTGGAGGTGCGTAGTACACACTTCTATTTATCTAAATTGATCTCGGTATGAACCAAAACACGGGGTCAAGGGGGTCGCGCCAACTTGCGTTGTCGGGTTCCAAGGGGCAGCGCTCAGAGAAAATTAGTGTTGTAAAAATCTCGATTATGTCCCGGTTAATCTCCAATTAGTTCTTAGGCACTATTTGACTAAATAGGAATGGCCTAACAGTTATTCCTTGCATATACAATGAGCGAAACAGTAAAAAACGATGAAATTTTAACGCTTTATAGAAATTTTATCTCAATAAATACTATTTGAGGAATGATTAATGTTCTATTAATCATATTAGCATATGTTTTTATGATATTAATTGGTATTTAGGAACAAAAATTGGTATTTAGGAACTTTGTTATGATATTAGTCGTACTTACCAAATGATCCGGTGTTGTCTTTCCTCTTTGAGGTTAAGGGTTCAAGTCCTGTAAGGGACATATGTAGAGATTTAGGATAATTGTAGGAGTAGAATAGAGTAGATTTGTCGTTCAAAAAAAAAAGTCGTACTTAGTGTGCTTTTTTTAGTTCAACTAATTAGCAATTAGGGTTCTCAATTAATCTCCGTTTAATCGATTAATCCATTAACCCAGTCTATTGATTAGTTAACGTCGAACGTTTTTTAACAACTTTAAAAAAGTACAATATTATTAGAGATACCATAATAGAAATTATTGAGTTTTCGTGGGTTCAAATGTAATTTTGTGTTGTTATCAACTCTTAATTGTCTTATCCAAAAGCAGTTCGAATTATGAGAGAAATCAGAGACTCTCTCTCGTTTTTCAAACATATGAAATTTACACACACCACATTCTCTTTCGTTCTTGATTAATTTTTGTGTCTAGAATCTTGATTGTTCATTTGATGATTATCTAAGACTGGATTTCTTGTAACTCAAACATCAGGGATATATATATATATATATATATATATATATATATATATATATATATATATATATCGATTTGGAAAGTGAACCGACACGATCCTTAAAGAATCCAATGATTATCTAATTCTCTTTCTACCCTATTAATATAATATTTTTACCAACACACTCATATAACAGATAAAATTATAGATTTCATGTTTCTAAATATAGCTATGTTGCCCGTTCTTCTATAAACCCATCCAAAATCAATGTTTTAAAAACCGTTTTTTTTAGTTGAACCGGTATGATGATGAGTTCCCGGTTCAACCACCGGGTCAACGGTTTCTATAGTTTTAATGTTTTATCCTATTTTCTTACACATACATACATATATAAACCATGAATTTGATGTTTACAAATTCAAACATTAAAAATACACATAAAAATAAGTTGTAGACGAATCCAAATATATTAAAATAACACATAATCATAAGTTTTAATGTTTTACATTAATCCATATACATCAAAAAGAAAATAAAGTATAATACTGTAACGAGATATAGTTTTAAATGAATAAAAATACATTAAAAAACTTTATAACATTTATCATATGTTTTTATTTAGAGAAAACTAAATAGATATGAAAAAATAATTACCAAAGTTTATTATGTAAATTGTTTTTTTTATGTGGTTTTATTCAGTTTAACTGGTTCAATCAGTTTTTTTTCTAAAAACTGATCGGTTCAATCTGATTCAGAAATCAATATAAAACCGGTGATAATTGAACCGTTTCCTTTCCGATTTCCGATCCAACCGGTTCAACCGGCTTGTTCAAACCGGTTTTTAAAACATTGTCCAAAATATAAAAATACATCCACTAATGAGTTATCCAAACATATCTCTTGATCCCTTACAAAATAAGCGAAACACCCCGTAATTCTTTTGGATCAAATCGCGTGAATCACGGATGCACAAGGTGTGTTCCACAGTCTATGACTCTATATGTGTTCAAGGTGAACCAAGCATTAAATATCAGACCCCTTCTACAAAATCTTGCACAAAATATGCTCATGATCGAGACTTTTTGAGGCCCTTTAAACACGCTGGTCAATAAGACACATGTTGATTTCCAATCTTTGATCCAACATCAACAGCCATTACTTTACTTTTCAAATTTCATCTTTTCTTCTTTCTCACAAATCCATCCAGAATCTCTCTCAAATCCCTTCTGGGTTTTCACAAACCCTACAAAAGCTGTCAGATTTTTGAATCTTATTCTTGATCTGCAATAATGGGCGCCTGTTTTAGCAAGAAAAATCGTCATCCCTCAAATTCCAATGGCTATAGATCTTCCAAACAACAAAATTACCACCCGGTTTCTGAAAGTTACGAAAAACCCACATCAAACTACACTCAACCTCAACACGAAACCCATCAACATCACCACCATCACCACCAGCAACAACCTCCGCCGCCACAGCCACAACAAGCACCACCACCACCAAATCCAGCACCGCCACCTCCAAACCCTAGACCCTCTCAGGGTTCCGATCCTAATACCATTTTGGGGAAGCCATTTGAAGACATAAGAAGACACTACACACTCGGAAAAGAATTGGGTAGAGGTCAATTTGGTGTAACTTATCTTTGTACTGAGAATTCATCTGGTCATACCTACGCTTGTAAATCAATCCTGAAAAGGAAGCTTGCAAGCAAGAACGATAAAGAGGATATCAAGAGAGAGATTCAGATCATGCAACATTTGAGTGGTCAACCAAATATCGTTGAGTTTAAAGGAACTTATGAAGATAGACAATCTGTTCATCTTGTTATGGAGCTTTGTGCAGGTGGTGAGCTTTTTGATCGGATTATAGCTCAGGGACATTACACTGAGAAAGCTGCAGCTACAATTTGTAGGCAGATTGTGAATGTTGTTCATGTGTGTCATTTTATGGGTGTGATGCATAGGGATCTCAAGCCTGAAAATTTCTTGCTTTCTAGTAAGGATGAAAATTCAATGTTGAAAGCAACAGATTTCGGGTTGTCCGTATTCATCGAAGAAGGTATAATCTTATAAGTTCCTTTTATGCCCTTGTATGCCGAAATTTATCTCATAGAAGTAATTTCCTTTTAGGTAGATTATATATGCCTAATGCAACAGTGTGATGCCCTAAAGTGACTGAATGAGTAATTATGGAGTAAATGACCATTTTGCCCTTACATTCTGAAAAACAAACTTCACAATATTTATCACTTATAACTATATTCATCAATTTTTAATGTGAGAGGATTTGGTAGGAAAAAAGATGGGCAAATAGGTAAAGAATTAGTGTCTTAATACATTAAGCCAGGTTTTTTGGGTTAACCCATTAAGTCATTTTGTTATGGGGTGTAAATTTTCATGCTGTTTCTTAATGAAAATATTTCAGGGAAGGTGCATCGAGACATAGTTGGTAGTGCATATTATGTTGCCCCTGAAGTATTGAGGCGTAGTTATGGGAAAGAAATAGATATTTGGAGTGCAGGGGTAATGTTGTACATTTTACTAAGTGGTGTTCCTCCATTTTGGGCAGGTATGATAAAAAAAATATTGTCTTTAATGTATCTAAGTTTGTATTCAATGGGTAATAACAATCTTTTTCTTTTTCTTTTTTGTGTGTATATAGAGACTGAAAAGGGTATATTTGACGCGATATTAGAAGGGGTTATTGACTTTGAAAGTCAACCATGGCCCTCGATTTCAAGGAGTGCAAAAGATCTTGTTCGTAAAATGTTGACACAAGATCCAAGAAAGAGAATCACTTCAGCTCAAGTTCTTGGTATTAATTATTCACTACCTTTTTCTTTTTCTTTTCCCATTAAGTGATGTATCAATGGATAATGTTTGAAAAAGATTAGAGAAAAAGTAAGCAAGGGAAAATTTGTAAAAAAAAAAAAAGGACTTAATGTGGGAAAACCTCCTTTCACTTACTTTTTGATTAAGTCATTCTTTTTGTATTATGTGAAAAGGAAATACTCATATATACCGCATTAAGTCCTGTTGTTTGATTTCATTAAGTCAAATAACTTCATTTGACTGGTCAAAATACCATAATCACTAATGCCGAGGGACAAATAGGCAATTCAACCATGAAACTTGCCAAAAAAGGAAACGTTGTAAATTTCGCAAGATATCCTAATTGACAACTTACAATTCTCTTTTAAAGTAATTGTTTTTTGCAGTGGATCTATATAATGTATATATCTCTCTTTTATTTATTGGAGTATATGGTTAACAACATTGATTTGTTTTAAACTTATTTCTTACTAAATTTACGATAACAAATTCGAAAAAAGAGAAATGAAGAATCATGTTATATGATTGATTAAATCGCATTGCTCATTAAATGTTTAATCCTTATATAGTTATATGTAACGTCTGTAGTAAACGCTACATCTAAAATGACATCATTTGCTCTGAGTATTTTGTGATGATTATTTAGTGGCAAAGAAGTAATTTCACTTGTTTTGTTTATTTAGAGCATCCATGGCTCAGAGAAGGTGGAGAGGCATTAGACAAGCCAATCGATAGTGCTGTACTTTCAAGAATGAAGCAATTTAGAGCAATGAATAAGCTCAAGAAGCTTGCTTTGAAGGTAAGCTTTAAACATTGATTTTCTTGAAATGACAGTTTTGCCCTTTTGTAAGAGTAACATGTACAATATCTTTTAGGTATAACATAATGTGTTCTAGTCGAAAAGAAACACCCCTTAACTCCTTAAGCCTTGTTTATATCAAGTAAAAAAAAGAAACATGAGTTGATAGTTGTGTGTTAATTCCAAAACTACCCCTTTCCACTCCAGGTGATTGCAGAAAGTATGTCTGAAGAAGAAATAAAAGGTCTGAAAGCAATGTTTGTGAACATGGACACAGATAACAGTGGCTCAATCACTTATGAGGAACTAAAGTCAGGACTTGCTAGGCTTGGCTCCAAGCTTTCAGAAGCTGAAGTTAAGCAACTCATGGAAGCTGTAAGTTATTTAGTACTATTTATAAAAAAAAAAAAAAAAAAAAAGTTAGTTTTATTTTAATTTAAAATTTTAAAATTCAGGCTGATGTGGATGGAAATGGAACAATCGACTACATTGAGTTCATAACTGCTACCATGCACAGGCATAGACTTGAAAGGGATGAGCATTTATACAAAGCCTTCTGCCATTTTGACACCGATAATAGCGGGTTAGTTTTATTTATTTATTTTAAGGATAATATTATAAATAGTTATTTAAATGTGACTTTTTATAAGGTAGGTAACATTATACATGATATGGTGATGTATGTTATCAGGTATATCACCATGGATGAACTAGAGAAAGCCATGAAGGAATATGGCATGGGAGATGAAGCTACCATCAAGGATATCATTTCTGAAGTGGATACCGATAATGTAAGCCTTTATTTATTTATATTATATATTGTTTGAACATTAAAGGGCTAAAATTATTATATATTGGTATTAGGAAAAAAGAAATGTTAAAAAAAAAAAAAGTAAAGTATGTTGTGTGACTAAAGTAAAGATTTGTTGTGTTGTATAAAAAAAAACAGGATGGAAGAATCAACTATGAGGAGTTCTGCGCAATGATGAGAAGTGGAACTACTCATCAAACCAAGCTCTTTTAATGCTCTTTTATTAGAATGAAATATAATAGTAGCGTTTGTTCATGAAAAATCATATCATATTATTATTATTATTATTATTATTATTATTATTATTATTATTATGTAGATGATAAGATGAGGCTTGTTTTGTGTATTTTTTTGGATTAATGAATTTTGCTCTTTTCATGACAATAAATGTTGGTTTAGTATGATTTGACACTTTATAGCATTTGTAACTTGTTATCGTTTGAAGTTTGAACCTTGTAATATGTGTGAAGAAATGTGATTTCTATAGGTGAAACTTTTTAAAATTTCTATCGTTTTTAGTTTCTATATTAGTTTAATAACCAAATAATTAGATTTAAAAAGTTGTGAAAATGCTGATTTTTTTTTGAGATAATTACGTAATTATAGCACGTAATCACATCCAAGAAATCGGAATTCTAAAGAATTAAAATTTGTAGAATTCAGTTTCCGTATTTTGTATATCTTTGTTTGATTTAAAACTGTCAAAAAAATTGAAATGTAAAGTAAGTTTTTTGTTGATGTTTTTGTAAATTGTTGTTTGGTTAACGGCGGAAACAAAATAACATATATAGTGCAAGATGTAACTTATCGGTATATGGAACATTGCAATCTTTGGTTGATGCTAAAATCTATAAGAATCATCGACAAGAATACACTCAACATTTATATTTATTACAAGTAACATAATAATTTAAGATTTTAGTTTTTATATCATATTTTTATCATTTCAGATTAAAATGATTGAAATATAGATAAAAGTACATTTTTTTTAATCATCGTCTTGACTTATTTGTTTGACTCGTTCGACTCAGGTCCGAACTAGACACAAGTAGGGCAAGCTGGACAATTGCTATAGGCCCTAGGTTTGGGAGCCCATCATTTTAACATATATAACTCATATGGCCCAATTGGTTTAGAGCATGTTTATGAAGTCCATTTCATCGATTGTATTTGTATTATTTGATATTAACAAAATATAATGTATATTGTAAATGAGTAAATGAAAACTAGTTTTCGATAAATGGGTTATTTTAAAATTTTGTAACCTCTAGTTTTCAGTTATCATTAAAAAATACTTTTTATTTTAATATTGGAGCAATTACACTAAATGTATATACATAATAATCATATCATCATTATTTTTTATTAATATATTATTCAGTGATTTTGAAGATCAACAAATAGATTGAGTTGAATTTGATGTTACATTGCATACAGCTTTTATGAAAATATAAAGAAAAAATTAAATGATTGCAATAGTATATTTGAACAGATTTAGTTAAATTAACAAATTAAAATGATTATAATTAAACAAAAGTTTAATAAGTAAAATGTGATAATGTACTTAAATACAAGTCTAAGGGGTGTAACTGAAAATTTCTCATTTGAGGAAATCTGCATTATTTGGTAGCACAAAAGTTAGAAAAATATGAACAAAATTGTAAAAATGGTCATTGTGGTTGATAAAATTCTGTAGTTTTGATCCAAAACGAAATGTTCGTGCACCACTAGTCCAATTTTAGATACCTTGTGTGGTTTTGGTCCCTATGATTGTATTTTCTTGCGTTTTTGGTCCACATCCCACCTAAAATGTCTAATATGCCCATATAAAATTATATTTTAATTTCTTTTATTTATTTTCTTATTCTAATAATAAAATGAAAAACAAAAACAAAATAAACCCACCACAAACACACACACATACACATACACACACGCACACACACACACACACACACACTCTCTCTCTCTCTCTCTCTCTCTCTCTCAACACCATCACCGAACCACCCATTCCAATTAAGTCACACCCCACCACACCCTAAAATAAGACCACCATCACCACCATTCCGACGACGACCCTGTTACCCTAGCTCTGGTGGCGGCTTCCATTGCGAGATCCACAACAAGATACATGTATGAAGACCCCGCTACCTTAGATCCAACGGCGAGAAGAGGCCCAATGGTTTCAGATCGTGGCATAAGGAGGTCGTTGATTGTGGATATCCGGTGGCAAAATGCAAATCTGGTGGTTCATGTGGAGGTAGAAACGGCGTCGGAACCTTCCCCCCTTCGTCGCCACTCGCGTCTCCTGCCACCGTCGGACGAACCTTCGCTTGTTTAGTTCCTAGATTGACGATCCAACATCGTTGCTGCCTTCCTTTTCATTTCCACTTGCATCGATTGCCTCTGTCTACGTTCTCCAGTGCCACATCAGTTTGCTTTCTTCGTTGCCACATGCATCTGCCACCCCTCCGTTCCAGATCGACGAGACAATTCATCAAAGAAAGAGAGAGATGAGGTAGGTGGAAGTCGCTTTTAATAGATCTAATTTCCGATGAAACTGGTTTTGTAGTGGTGGATTCGTAATGTGGTAGAGTTTATCAGAGCATCCATGTGAGGGAAATGAAGGGTTTATGTTTTCCGATGAGAATTGTAGCCGTCAGTGGTGGTTCCCGTCACCGACGATGGAGGGTTGAAGTAGTGATAAAAGGGCTTCTCTCCTTTATAAAGCTAAGAGGGTGGTTGCGTTATTTTTTTGTTTTAAGTTAATAAAAATAAATTAAATTAAATTATGTATTTTAGCAATTAAATAAAATGGAAAATATAAATTATAAGGGTATATTTGTCTTTTTAAGTTTAGAGGGACCAAAATCATTAAAAAGATCCAAAATTCAACTATTCATACACCACCAAATATTTTTGGACCAAAACCATATATTTTTGACAACCATAAAGATCATTTTTGCAATTTTGTCAAAATCTAATAAAGTAATAATGATTTTGTAATAGACTTAATTTTGGTATTATAGTAGGTGTAAAGATTACTTTAGTTCAATAGGTTGGTTGCAAAATATCTCTCGTTGTCATTAAATTATGTGTTTTTGTTCTGATTCTAACATCTTGCTAATTTTCTCTTAATAAAATTTAAATCGTTCTAAAAAAATTAATCATTTTTATACATGATTTACAATTAAAATATATTTTATTGTTTAATAAATATCATTTTGACCGACAACAACCAATCTAGTCTGTTCTGGTGACCATACGACTTTTCAACTTCGACCGTCTTCTTCGGTGAATAAACCCAATTTTCGGCGTCCCTCTTAAAACTTTTCATCTCCGGTTGGCTTCATCAATTTGAAACCTAGATTTTTGGCGTACTTAAAACCTTCATCAATTACATAACTTTGGTGGGTTTGTGCTCAAGATCTCGGTTAAGAACCCCACCAACACCAACACTTGTAACTTAACATATTCCAAGCTCTAATCATAAGTCCATAACTTATAACTTCAAAAATCAATCCAAGAATGTATTGGATGACATCCTATTAAATTCCATACGAATATGAATGATTGCATCAAATATTCTAGAAATAGTGGTGATCCTCTAACTATTGACTTTTCAAACCTAGATGCAAGCTATTTTGATGTTTTTGATGCTTTGAGTTGATTAGATCTTACTACAAATTTTCTAATTTTGGATTTTAGAATCGATTTTCAAATTTGGAAACGATGAGATGAAGAACTTGTTTTTTGATTTTGTTATTTGGAATCAGTTTTATTATATGTTACGCTAGAAAATTGATGTTGGCCAGAAAAGAAGAACAAAGAGTTGTTGGAAATGTCTAGTTCGTCGAAAACCGGATAAATTGATTATTGTCGGTTAAAATGATATGTTGTAAACAACTCAAGTGAGTTTATTGGTAAATAGTATAAAAATGGTTAATATTTTTATTGAACATCAAGCAATATATTAGAACAAAAGGGACTTAAGAACGAGCTCAAGTCAAAGTAAAAAGAAGTTCATAACAGGATACATACAACATACAACATATAAAATAGATCACAATTTTTAAATTTGGATGTATTTGTTATCCAACTGAAAGTGCTAAAAATAATAACATCCACGATAAAATTTCTTGCTTTTTGTTTATGAAAACCAAAATATATCTAGATTTCCAAAGGATTTTTTACTTAATTGGCCATCAAAAATTTTGACTTAATTTAGCCATGCAATTTTGATCATTCTAAATCAGACAGCGAACTCTCGTTTTTGTTCGATCATTTTAACTTTTAATGGTTAAATCAAGTAAAAGTTGAGACTTGATGGTCATTTAAGTCAAAAATCTATTTCTAAATCATTCAAAAAGCGGAGTAATAAGAGAAAGGCTCATATTTCATTGCCAAGCCATAAGCTATTAGACCAAAGGGAGTGGAGTGCGATTTCAGCCTACGCGGTTTGGGTGTGCGGCCAAAAATAGGAGTGTTCATTTCTCTCAAACTCTTCCTCCCTCTCTCTATCTCCTTTTTTTTTTTTTTTCAATGAAATACCACTGTAAAAAAGTGTGATAGATAGTGGTTATCATAGTAATAATTATTTGTTGGTATAGAAAGTTGTTGGTCAATTAATAAACCCCCTTATTTTTACTAGTTAATTACCATCTATAATACTATCAAGGTTACAAACCTTGGGGTCGCCGCCGGACCCATCTATTATTGTCTATTATTTAAGCATTTGTTGGTACGTTCCTTTTCATGATGGGATAGGCTAGATTGTTCCTTTCATATATCGACTATTGTCTCCTCTTTGATACCAATTTAACCACCCTACACTGCTACACATGTAAGGAAAACAATGGAACTTTTGTTTGAACCCCACTATGTGACCGTTGTAATTAAGATGCCTAGTCTTTTTAACATCAATTAACCCACTAACAATCTGTGTGTTGTATTATAGGGGGCCTCAACTTTTGAAATGCATTATTATATCGTGCATTACATTTCTCATAATGGTCCAGAAGCACTCACGGGTGTTAATAACGACTTGCATATTAGAGAAACAAAAGAAAAAATAAATGAAGAAAAATATGTAAGAAGATACTATCATACTATATCAAGTCCAAAAGAAACATCCAAAGTGTTACTGGTACTTGATCATATACTATCTATAATATGTTTCCCAAAGTTCATTAAGTTAAATTAAAAAACAATACCTTACTCGTGCTATCTGTGAAAAAGCTTGTAAAAATTAAAGATCAAGATTTTATAATGATTACTTGGTAATCTTGAGCTAATTTGAGCAGGATCAAGAAAATTAATGACATAATTGTCTCTTTGCAAGAGAATCTTATCT